GACTGGTGAAACATCAGGAAGAACAACCTTCAGAACACGGCCAAAGAACCTGAAAAACCCAGAACAACCATTAGATCCTTGCCGTGAAAGCCTTCGCGAATAAATTGTGGATTATTTCAGTCACTGGTAAATCATATGGAAAGGCTTGTTTCTTCTCACACAACCATTGACCCAAACAGTGACTGTACCTTTTGCCTTTCATCTCTAGTTCTAAAAGACTTTCTCTTTTTTCTTTACTTTTAAACCAAAGCTTAGGACCTGGGACAAATGACAGACTACATGGGCACTGAGTGCCATGTCTAGAATCTGGGCAAAACCCAATCAGCCAAGTAATACGGCAAACTTAGCATCCCATTGAAGATGCAAATGTAAAAGGATGAGACACACACACAGTGGCAGCCTTCACTGTACAAGGCCTTCTTGATACATTTGGATTGCGAATGGAATGTCCAACATTTTTCCACCATGGAGCCAGTGTCCAGTTGCTTCTGAAATGTTGTAATAGGATGCTTCCTTCTATTGTGCTTGATTCAATTGTCAGTCTAGATGGAAAGCACATGATGCTGTTGAGTAGTAAAAAGAAACAAACAAGCAGATTATCTGGGCATCTTTGCTAATAATCCATCTTTCACTGACAGATACAAATACAGAAAGCTTTTTGTCAGTTATTACTTGAGTATTTAATGGTGGCTGTTTTGGCCTACACAAGCACTGTTTTACCACAAGGGAATTCATTATCAGAAAGCACTCTAATTTAATAGATTGTAGAACACTTCAGTCCATATTTCTAAGGAAGTTACACCTTAAATCAATGGCATTCAATAATGCCGTAACTCAACTATAGATGATGTCAGCAGATTCACCTCATGTAACTTGGAGCATATATTTACTTTTGTACACAGCTATGGCTGTCCCAATAGCCAAATATATTTAGAAACCATCTAGTACAATATGGACAGTATTAAAAGTTAGATCATTATTGTTCTTTAGTTTAATCTTCACATATTTTAAAACATATTTTAAAAATATTTTAAAAGCCCCCGTGCTCTGAGTGGGGCAATATCTGGTTCATGCAAGCTAGAGATCACCTGGAATGTTATGTCTGAAGGACCTTATGGTCCATTTTTCTTCACCATGATTCTGCCCATAGAAATGAATGATACTTACACTAACTGCAGTTAGTAAGCCCAAAACATTTTAATGAGTTTACTCTAGATAGGACTGACGTTGGTTTTAGCTCATTATTTGTATCTTGCAAGTAGCTGTCGCATTTCAGTTCTGGTGTCATCTAATATGCCCTGTTGTAAACAGGAAGGAAAAACATCCTGATACTCTATGCAGCCCTTTAGAAAGAAAGATGTCCCTGTATGTGTCTCCTTTGGTTGTTTATTGCTTTCAAACCTTATTCCTCAGAAGGAACCCAGTAGGTCCCTTTTTCTTCTTGACGTCTCATTCTGATAACTGCTGAGCAGCATGGACTAGGAACACTTTGTTACCCTTTTGAAGCTTTCCCCATGGGTTCTGAAAGAGTTGTTTTGATTTAAATTGATAGCTCAATATTTCAAGGTAATGTTGAAGAGATCTTAAAAGATAGGTAGTATTGACTGCCTGTTAGTGAGAAATACAACTGCATCAAAGTTTTATTAAAGGAAAAAAGCAAAAGGTCCAGCCTGTTAATGACAACAGTTAATGACAGCTTTTGTAAGAGCTTCTCTTGATTGGATCAAGGCCTTGAAACTATTCTTGCCCAAACTTATACTTTGCCTCATTTTAAGGCCAGTATCCCATTCAGTATTTATGGGTGTGCAGAGCGCTAACTGAAGAAGCTGTCTCTGTACTTGGCTGCTGGTGACTAGACACAGGACCAGCACCTCATCAGATTACCATGGCCAGTTCGGAAGTTGAAATTCAGTGCCAGTAAATATTGAACTGGATACTGACCAGACAGTCTACCTTTCTCTTCAGGAACGTTTGTCTTTTTTACGTACCATTTTATTTTTATTTCAGCCCATATTGTCATTAATTCTTTTCCTTTTCCCCTTCAGTATCCTTCTCTTGAACACTGAATTTGTATGTGTCCTTGTACACAAGCATTATAAGACATTTCCCTTAGTATTTATGCTAATACAACATAGACTACAATCTTATTGACTTGGGAATGCATCCTTGGAACCATGGCAAGAACGGAATCTCCTCCGAGGCCTTCCATGACAATGGGGATGGGGGGAGCAGAGATCCGTGAGTGAATCCTCTCTACTCCCTTGCCACCACCGTCACATTCTAGACCAGTGGTTCTCAACCTTGTGTAACCCAGGTATTGTTGGACTGCATCTCCCAGAACCCTCAACCAGCACAGCAGGTGGTGAAGGCTTCTGGGAGTTGCAGTCCAACTTCACTTGGGTTACCCAAGGTTGGGAACCATTGGTATATGGTAGACCGTATCTTCTGACCTCCAGCTCAGAGCTCTCAAAGCAGCAGAAATGGTCATTTGAGATGTATGGTGATGATTGGGAAGGGGTTAGGAGATAATTTTCTATCTTTCATGTTCTCATGGTTGTAGCCAAAGTTAGTTTTAATTTTTATTTAGGCAGTCTTCCTACTCCACCTCACTCAGTCCATGGGCCACCCATGGTTAATATATAGAAGATTTGTTGAGGCTTCTGGATTAGGTGTCTTTAAAAGGTGATGAGACAAATTCATAAAGGACAGCTGATAAAAATTAGTCCTGCTAGCCATGTTGAACATTTTACTTTAGATACAATAAATTACTAAATACTAGTAGTTGAACTGTCCAGCACAGTTGGTTTCAATTGCTAGAGCAATTGTGTCACAAAAACCTATAATGGCAATTCAATATACAGTGAAATGTGATTTAAAACAACAACGAAGAAGCATAACATTCTGCCCTCACCCTAAATAACAACAATTTCCTAACACAGTTGGGGCACTGTGAACAAGCAATTATTTTTCATATTCTACAGATTGGTTCCTTGTGATGGCATTTTAATTGTATTTTGTTTTTCTTTCTTCATTTGCCAACCTCTCTGTCTTCCTAACAGCATAGCCCATGTTACTGACTACAATGCCTATAATGATCAGATCTCGAACAACTGATCAGCTAATGGGGATGCAATTGTCAGTAGTTCTACCACACTGGAGATGTGCAAAGCAATGTACATGATGATGAAATTCTGTTTGATTCTACCATAGTTGTTATTACTTCACTGAAATGGCCCTTGACAATAACATCGTTTCCTAGCTCTCATTTATTCTTATTCTCAGTTGATTCATGTGGAAAACTCTTTAAATGATACATCAAAATTACTTTAAGAAAAAGGATTAAGGTCAAAATACAGTAGTTGCTTCCCCCCCCCCTTTGTAGGTCACATTTTCAGGTCCAGAAGAGGTATGGTTGTTGTGGAACCCACAACTGGGTGGCCATCAAAATATTGAACTGCAGTTTCCACCAGCTTTAGCCAGCTCAGCAAATGGTGCAGGATGATGGAAGACGTGGCAGACCAACACTTTCCCAACCCTGCTCCCAATCAGAGCTTAAAGAATTAACCTTTTTTCCAATGACAACTCCTCGAATTGTCCAGATAGCATAGCCACTGGTCATGCTGACTGCAGAATTATAGGAGCTGTATTCTTAAAAGAGAATGGTCCAGCTCTGCTGTTAAGAATGGAGGCCAGGGTAAGAATGATCCCTTGTGGGAATAGACTCAGTCCAGCAAGCTATGAGAAAAGAGAAGCCATGTGAAAAGATAAGTATCTAAAAGGAAGAGTATCATCATGGGACTGCGTCACATTCAGATCACTCTCATCTGTTCCTGTTCCTCTTCATAGCAGACAACAGCAAACTCAAGAATCTTCCAGCAGTTCTGCTGCTGTGATCGGTCAATAGGGCACCTACAATGTAGGTTCTAAGTTATTAAAGTACAGCTCCTGCTTTTGCTGTCTACTTGGTTTAATCTAGGAGAAAATATATGAGATATAATAAAAAAACAGAGGAAGTCTGTATATTAGTGTGTATCATAACATGAAACTGGCCAGGAACATTGATGAAATGCTTAGATCTGTGAGACAAGAGAAATAGATCTTCAAGGAAGCTGGAAGCCTAGTTTAACCTCTGGAACTTGCTTTGTATGCTTCAGTCCTACTGGGAATGGCATTAGATGTTCCATCATTTTGCAAACATGCCAGAAAGCATGGGAATCTGTGCCAGGTGCTCTGCTTTAATATTAGCAGGCTAAATTTCAATCTGTTGTTCCTTAAAAAAACTGTTTATCAACCTGCTGAAGAGAAAGATGGATGATAGTTATTAGATTACTAAAATATCACAAGCAGAAGCTAGTTTTCAACTCTGCAGTAATCTTCATCAGGCATTAGAGAACTGGGGCAAGGTGTGTGTGCAGAAGAAGCACAAGCATTCCAACTTCCGTGGCCAGATGGTGCAGGGCAGGTGTCCCTGTTCAAAGCAAGTTCCAAAGTGGGGGCTGCAGAATCAGCTCAGACGTGGTAAGTTTCAGATTTCACCTATCGTGTGGTAGATCAGGACATTGCTCCCAAACTTTTTAAACAATGGACTGCCAGTAACTTAGCACCTCTCCATTGTACTGTATTAAAACATATGGTTCTGTTCTAGCTGGGAATGGAGACAGATATGAATGTGGCAAACTCCATATTGAAGAAGCTGGAGTAAAATTTAGTTCACATATTACGTAATCCAAGTCGCCACCAGATTAAAAGTATTATTTTTTTAAAAAAAAATTAACAACTAGGGATAAGGTAAGGAGTACAAAAGCAGAGGGGGATATGGAGGGGAGGGGGAGGAGAACACAAAATGTACTGTCATCCAATCTGTTCATGTTACGATATCAAGTCGACTTTTCGCCTTTTGAACATTTTAAGACACTTTTAAAAATAGCTAGAAACAGGGGGACCCAAACTGTCATCACTATGCGAGACATGGTCCCGAACATCGCTATGCGAAATTCCCCCCATTGGAATGCATTGTCAGCTGTCAAACCTACAGTTCAATGCATTTCAATGGGGGGAGAAAAAATTCACCAAAAATTAACAAAGACTCAGAACAAAGCCAAATTAAGTTTGCAAAGGTTTTACAGGGTGCACTAATGATTCCAAGCATTTTAAATAGTTTTTGAACATTTTAAGACACTTTAAAAATAGAAAAAACGGACCTGTCAAAACCATTGAAATGCATTGAAACCTATTCAATGCATTCCAATGGGGGCACCGCGTTTCGCTTAGCGATGTTTCCTATGGTGATTTTCGCTTAAGGACAGTAATCCATTCCCATTGGAACGGATTATCCGGTTTTCAATGCATTCCTATGGGAAATGGTGTTTCGCTTAGTGATGTTTTCCCATAGCGATTTTTTTTGAACCAATTAACATCGCTAAGCGAGGCTTTTTGATTGCATTTAATCTGTATTGCCAGTACACATGGGTGCTTTGTATTCATATCCAGGGGATATGAATATGAAGTGTAGCACCACAGGTGCCACAGCAGACAATTCCCACTCCCAAGAACCGGGCTTTGCACAGCACAAATGTCCATCAGCATCGTCATTGTACCAATTGCAGATGTAGTCCTGCCAGCACATCTCCACCTCTCCCTGCAGCCGACCACTCCAGTAAGGAGGCAGGACAACAAGTCTCCTCACTCAGCTGCTGAACGGTTGGCTTGGGAAGAGGTAGGGAAGTGCCAGCCAGACCACTTCCGCAATTAGCACAATGCTCATCCTGATGGATGCAGGCACTGCGCAGATCCCAGTGAATGGACCTGGCTGATTATTGGGGAGAAGCAGTAATGGACCGTCATGGCATCTTTGGTGCCACGGTTCATATTCGTATTCCCTGGATATGAATACAAAGCACCCATGTCTAATTGTCAGTCATGCTAGGCACAGGCGGGGGTGGGTGGGTGGATTAAAAATCCTATTGAAAATACTGGAAATCTTGTTTAGCTGCCAATTTTCTTTCCCCAGTTTTAGCAGGAATTAATCTTTCATTTCCAAAAATATATTTGCAATCCATAACAGAAGTCTATGAGAAGATTATCAGGTTCCAATTTTTGTACAAAATTACCAATATAGCCAAATTTAAATGCATTTGTGTACAAAACCCCACACTTTCCAGAGCCTGAACTTTAAAAATACACAGAAAAAAGTGTGTGTTTTAAAAATGCATAAAATGCATATATTGAGAGGAAAATGTATACAAAATGTTCTACGTTGGATAAAAATCCTTGCAAAAAGTTTATATGTTACATGCTAGAAAATTAACTAAAAAGTACACATATTAGAAAAAATTGACACAAAGATGTATATGAATTTTCAAGTTTAATTTTTTCACAGATTTTCCAGAGTTCCGGATTGAAGTTAAATATAAGACAAAAAGAGTGTGCGAGCTGGTAAATGGGGAAAAAAAACACCAAAATTTGAAATTTATTACATTTAGCCTTGCCTAGAAGTTCTTGAATTTTTGCTGCTGCTGTTTTTGGTGCTGCAGTTGCTGTTCTTACTGTTTTAAGGGGCAAAGGTTCTGCTTAAGAGGAAGTGGAATTCCTGTTCCATATGTTGGGCTATTTTTCTCTAATCACTGAACAATCATTGCACATTCATAATTATCTGCTTATGAGATCCTCCCTTTAACCATGGCTGGTATTCCTCTTATGGACATGTTGTCTTTGTAGGTTGAAAATGCTGTAATGGATGCTTATGATTTTGTTTATGAAGATGTGAGGAGGAACGTTTCTAACACCAGAAGACAAGAACTGCAAGGCATCCATGAAACGGTAACTTATCTGCATGTTTTGATATAGGTGGTTCCAGCTATGCCTGTTCATCATCTTCAAACTTGGTTGAGAAACTGTCTGAGATTTTACTTCAGCAAGATCCCTTTCCCATTTCTAATAAGTCCACACATGTTTTGCCCAGTACAAGTAGTTTTGATACTCACTGATTTCCACTGGGGATAGCTGAGTTGTTAAAACTGAAGGGATTTTATTTCCTTATCCTTAGGTGTGAGATGCCACACTTCAGAGAAACTTTCAGGAAAGCTGTGAAAACATGATAAAATATCCAGAGAAAGATAAAATATAATCGCATCATTTTTAAAAAAAAAAAAAGACACTAAAATATCTTCAAAAGTTGGTGTGAATAAAATGTGTTTGTTTGGCACCAACAGGGCAACAGGCCTCTTTTTAAATGCTTCATCTTTGGCTGGATCTTCAAATAGAAAATGCCACTTATGGCAAACAGGGCAGATTCCTTATATTTCTTCAGAAGGACGTGTGTGGAAAAGTAGAGTAGCAAATGTCTAGACCATTGTGGGGGAAAGGACCAGAATCAAAAACAGCAATGAATTGCTGAGGTCCTTTGGTCACCTGCACTGATATGACTCAGTAGCAGCAGCATGCTATAAATCTGGGTGGAATTAATCCTTTTGTGCTCCACACCTGATGCCTGGTTTTAAGCTGGGTAGTGGTGGTGCTATGGGTTAAACCGCAAAGCCTCTGGGCTACAAGGTCAAAAGATTAGCAGTTCGAATCCATGCAACGGAATGAGCTCCCATTGCTTGTCCCAGCTCCTGCCAACCTAGCAGTTCGAAAGCATGTGAAAATGTGAGTAGATAAATAGGTACCACCATGATAGAAAGGTAACGGCATTCTGTGTTTAGTTGCTCTTGCCACGTGATCACAGAAATTGTTTAAAGACAAACACTTGCGACTTGGAAAGAGGGATGAACACTGCTCCCTAGAGTCAGACACGAATGGACAATTCTCAAGGGGAACCTTTACCTTTACAAAGTTGGCTTATCTATGAAATTCTAGCCTCCCTGAGACAATTGGCTGGACAGCAGACTCAAATGCATAAGTGGAATCTGTATATTTCTTTGATATTAAATTCACCAGTTGAAATTCTGTTGCTTAGAGCACTAAGTTTCAGCTAGAGTAGGCCCATTGTATCAGTGAAATTTACAGAAGAGTTGCCTCATCAAATCTCTTCTGATTCAATGCATCTACTCCAGTTGTGACTCACTATGCCAAGCAACAGGATTTTATTCATTGATCCCTACATGTTCCTGCTTAGGCTGCTTAGTCAAAAGATTTCCCTACTGAAAGAGAGATTTGTAAGATACACTTCCAAGAAAGGTACAGTATAAGCAAGGTAAATTTTCACTTATTTCATTCAGAAAAGTTCAAATGAAAAATACCAAGACTTTTCTCCCCACTTTTGTAAGTTCATGAGAGGCTGTAGTTTTAGATGAGGTGGCTGTGTTAGTTTGTTCAAGCATATTCAGCAAAATCCAAAGTAACAGAAGAAGACAAGACAAAAGTATGGGTCTCTACCAAGGGATCTGAAGAGTGAAGTGTTCTTGTCAAGGCTGGCCTGGAGATAACTTAAAATGCATATGAGTGGTCTCAGTTGTGGAGTGTAATTTTGTCTTCTGGGTCTGTCTTTCACTAATTTACTTCTGGATATATGTCTTGGTTTGTTGATTTGTTCTTTAATCATAAGCAGGGGGGGGGTTATTGTAGTCTGAGGAATGTGTTTTGTAGATCCTTGAGTATGGAGTCTATGCTGTGGATCGGAGCTGTTTCGATTGTATCTGAGAGCTTGGCTAAATACAATGCATTTTGTTATCCATTCAGATGGAAGCTGGAAGAGTGCAAGTACTGTAGTTATACTGATTGGTGGGTTTTCGGTACAGTGTGGTGCTGTGATATCCATGTTGTAGCTTCACAGAGGTGTCTAGAAAAAGCACTTGTTGCATAGACTGTTCCAGGTTGAGGTTGATGTTTGGGTGAGTTATTGAAATCCTGGTGGAATTTTTCTAGCTATTCCTTTCCATGAGATCAGATCCGAAAAATGTCATCAGTGTATCTCAAATAGAGGAGTGGCTTTTGGATGCAGCAGTTTAAAAATCATTGTTCCAAGTCAGACACGAATATGTTTGTATATTGTGGGGCCATGTTGTCAAAGGTGAAATAGTTGTGTGTGAATACAAAGTCACAAAGGGTGGTGATTATGTGGGCTTCTTTCTTATTTTGAATTGTGTTTTTGATAGGTTGTAGTTCATCTTTGCGCGGGATGTTAATATAGAGTACCCAACCTGCTGGGGGAGGGCAATTTATAGCCTGTATAATTAACTTATAAACTGCCCAGAGAGTGTTTGAAGTGCTATGGTGTGATACATAAGTAGCACACTTTGCTTTTCACTTTAGAGTGCCTCAACATCCATTGTAGCTAGGACGATGTTGTCAGGGAGGTTGTATGTAGACTGAAGTTCCCTTAGGATGTCTGTGGTATTTCTTACATTGCTAGGTGCATTGGTGACATAAGGTTTGAAGATGGAGTTCAGGCATCCAGATATCCCAACAGTGAAGGTGTTGATGCTTGACGCAATGGGTCTGCTACGATTTTCTGGTTTCTGTATTTTCGGTGGTAGACAGAAGGTTGCTGGTTGAAGTTCTTGTGGTGTGTTAGACAAGATTTGTTCCCATTTGCTTCCAGGGACATTTTTCATGAAGTTTTATAATTCCTTATATGCATGATGGACATCCATATATAGAGATTGAATATAATGTTAAGCCTGTTATCTACTGTTATTTTCTTCACAACTACCAGGCTCATCTTTCACCAAAAGGCTCAAAGGTAAAAACTGTAAATATTCCCTATTAGAGATGGGGACAAATTTTTAAAAAGGTGATTCGTTTTGATTCATGATTCGTCAAGGTTAACGACTCAACAAATATGAATATACAAATATTCTTCAATGAACTGATTCATCAATTCATCTTTGCTTTAAATGGCTATAAAACTAGCCCCTAGGCACCTAGAGTCACCAAATTTCCTCAGACACATTCCGACAATCCCTGAAAGTTTGGTGAACATTGGTTAATGGATTGAGTTGTATAGTCACAAAGAGGACACCCCTGGAAAGCTCCCCCCAGGTACTTAGATAACCCAGAATCACAACAGAACTTCCTATGTCTTTCCCCAACACACCTGCCACCTTTGGTGAAGATTGGATATTGGACATCTGAGTTATCAACCCACAAATTGGGTCCCCCCAGGAGAGATTACCACATGGCACAGAAGCCCATTCTGCCTACCAGCTGCTAATCAGCTGATCAGAAGCCGATAGGCAGCCACCACCCCCCACAACCAGCCACCCCCACAGCCTACCCACCACCCCTTCCTTTCCCTACCTTAGCCCCACCAACACCGCCTTACCTTAATCACTGTTGCCGAGGTCTCCTTCTGGCCTCCCAGCCACGCATGTAAAAAGGGAAACTGGCTGCCTTTTGCAAAGATAGTGGATGCAGCTTGGGTTCCTGTAAGGCAGGCTAAGGGAATCCAAGCTGCCCTTTGTAAAGTTGGCAGTTGCAGCTTCCCTATCCTATGTGAAACCACAGCCACCATCTTTGCAAAGGGCAGCCAGTCTCCCTTTCTACATGCATGGTTGGGAGGCCAGGGGACATCATCATCAGCAATTAAGGTAAGGGGGTATCGGTGGGGGGTGGGGTGGGGGCTAAGGTAGGGAGAGGAAGTGGGTGGAAGGGTAGGCTGTGGGGTTGGGTGGCTGTGTGTAGGGGTGGCTGTCTATCCCCCACTGATCAGCTGATTGGCGGCCGGTAGGCAGAATGGGTTTTTTGTTTGTTTATTTTTTGTTTTATGTTTTTTATATGAAGGATGAATAAAAACAAGTAAATATTCATCCCTTCATATTCATGGGGGTCTCTGGAACCCACGAATATGAAGGGACAAATATTTAGTGAATCAGCTATTTTAATCAAAAAAGCTGATCCGTTTTTATATTCGTCCCCATCTCTATTCCCTATACTAACAACTGTGGTTCCTCTGCTATTTTCTTTTACTTTTATATACACTTGTCCACAAAAGCTTACACTGAAATACAATAGTCTTTAAGTTGCCACATGTTTGGTCTTGTTTGGTTTGGTTTCTTTGGATTTTGCCTGATATGAGAGGATGTCTTTTAGGCCAAAAGGCAAAATCTTGTATTTTGTGCAGAAAAATATACATAAATCTTTGGTTTTGCACAATCTATGAGATTTTTACATAAAACACAACTGTCATTTTGCAAAATACATGGTTATTTATTAATTCATTTATTTGCTAATGCAGCTGCTCTCTCTCTCTCACACACACACGCACACACACACACACACACACACACACACACGCACACGCACACAAAAGCAAAAACTGCCCTTTCTCATTCTTGTGGAAGTGAAAAATTTCAGTGCCATTAATATTTATTTCAGTAGGGCATGCTGAGACACTTGGTCTCATAGAAAAAGAGCAGATGTGCTGGGATTAATTACACCATTAATACGATGAGGTTGCATTTAAGTGAAGGAGAGTAGAGAGACAGCTTAACATTTCTCCCAGCTAAGGAATAAGGCATGAAAGAATCATTGTGACCTTGTGCAGGACACAGACAGTGTTGATGGAATATTTGTTGCACACAGAAGTATGCAATAGCTGGCTCCAGGAAATGCCAGCTCGCTACAACACATGAGTGGTTTTTGGATAATGATCTATTGGAACTATAGGGGAACATCACCATGTGCTCATGTAGGTTGTAGGCTTCTCCCTTTCATTCTATACCAGCATTACATTTCTCTGGGCACAGAATTCAAAGCCACATTTTCTGCTTCATAATGAGAGGGTTGGTTTCGTTTTCAAAACATACTTTTCAACCAACAGTAACTATAAGCCCTGTATTTTGATAACAGGAATGCCAAGAAGGCCTAGAAAAACGCCCTTATTTTTATACATGGGAAATATTGAAAAAAAATCAACATTTTATTTGCCCCCAGGAATCAAATGAGTTTGTAGAATCCTTGATGTAGGTTTGTAACCTACGAAACCCACTGTCTTTCCTAATTTATTATGTGTACGTATTTAGAGGTGCACTTTCATTGGGGAATAAACCCCACTGAGTTGGGCAGAACTTATTCCCCAATGAATGTGTACAGCAGTGTTGAGTAACGTAGGTTCCAAGTTGCTTTTGCAATTGCCACCTCCCCCACCCCATTTACTACCACAGTTATTACTGTTGTAAGGCGCATTGCCAGCACCTCCAATAAAATAGCACTATTGAAACATGGCAGTTCCCTGTCTTCCCTTCTTCTTGGAATCATTGTATGGTGAGAGAGAATGCTTTTTTATCCTCTAGCACCCCAAGAAGCTGTCAAAATTGTCACCAAATCTGAGCAGTAACTATGGTAGCTCAAAGAACCTCAGCCTCTGCCCTCTGCCACTGAATTCCAGCACGGCTCACCTAAAATTAGTAGTGGTAACAGCAGTGCAATTCCTGCTGGTGTCAAGGTTTTAGTGAAGCTCTCCATCTCTGGAACATTGCCCAGCCAGAGCAATACAGGATTACAACTCTATTCTGAAGGGAAGAAAGGGAGCAGGGGCAGAAAACAAGGTTGGCTTTCTTTTGGGGCCAAGACTGAATGAGTCTGGCTTAATTAACCAGTCCAGATGACCACAGTACAAAGAATCCATCTGTATGCACAGAAGGGAACTGGGCATTTATTTGCCAGGGCTTCTCTCTCTCTCTCTCTCTCTCTTCCCCCACACCCAACTCTAGCCATTTTTGGCCATTTAAATTATGTGAAAGAAGCATACAAGACTTGCACAAGCATAAACTAGCTGTTTGCAACTGGGATCTCTCCTTACATAACAGAATTGTTTGGGTGTGCAGGAGATTCCCCCATTACTGTGCTGGTAGAGCTTCATACCCTACTGGTTTCCAGAAGGATCCCAGCTTTTATACTACTATGAGCCTTAAGAGAATATAGTTCACAGGCAGTGGACACCATGTAAAATACTGAGGACAAATACAAGAGATTTAATATGATTGCAAATGCAAATCCAAGGCTATGGTCAGATTGGCCTACATGGAATGTAAGTATGGGTGAATTAATGGAAGCAACTAGATAAAATCAACATATTTTGCAGATTACAAAGTATAAATAGGGCTACTGGTTTTGAGGAAGCAGAACTGGCATATAGACACAAGAACAACAACAATAACAACAACAACAAAGCCCACTCTTTCAACAAGCCTAGGAGAGCTGTTGAGGTTGCCCTGATTATATTTGTGTGCTGGCTATTACTTGTAATCACAAATAAACAGAATGCTTGCTTTTACTTTTCATATAATTCATTCTTTTATTTATGAATGTACACCCTGTGGTCCAGGCAGCATTAATGAGCTATACGCTTACACAAACTACTTGGACTGTGCTTGCTGGAAACAATGGCACAGACTCCATAGAAGACAAAATCATATGAACAGCCCCCTGTATTCCCATCATGTGTAGTTACAACTGTACGTAATGCTTGTGTGCCATGAGGAGGAGCCTTGTGGTGCAGTGGTAAAACTGCAGTACTGCAGCCAAAAGCCCACTCATGATGCCTGGGTTCAATCCCAGGTAGCTGGCTTGAGGTTAACTCATCCTTCCATCCTTCCAAGGGCAGTAAGCTGAGTTCCCATAGAAATGGAAGGGGGGGGAGAGAATGTGTAGCCTGCATAATTAAATTGTAAACCACCCAGAGAGTGCTTTAAGCACTATGGGTGCTATATAGGCAGCATGCGGGGGGATGGGTGGGTTGTATTTTGTTTTGCTTCTGTACGCAATCCATAATTTCTTCTAAGATGAATTCCTTTATTCTCACACATATGTAACCAAAACAGTTCCAGCCATGGCATGGACAAGAGAACATGGAGCGCAGTTTGACTTTGGGGTGTTGAGTGTGGGAAGGCTAACAGGAAGGATAGGTGGAATGGAATGGTGTGGCAGAAGTGCTTCGCACTGCAATGTTTTGATGCAGGGCCCCACTTGTAATATTTTAAAAAATGGCAAGCATAATATGTTGTTTTCTTTTTCTTTCAGTTTCACTGTTGTGGAAAGAAGTCACCTTTTGGAGAAGCAAGTAATATTGAAAAAGAGATGTGCCACTCAGAAGCTGAAGAGTCAATCAAAGAGGTAATAAAATGCTGTGCTTGGAAGTGATGCTTCTTGTCCATTACAGCCGCGCTGTGGACAGACTTTTTCATGAATGCAGCATTTTTAAACAAAAATGTTGTGTTGCGTCTACATCAGTCTCCAAAGTTTTTTTTATCCAGGAAGTTGCAGGATTCCTTCTCCTATTTTGCCTTGAATGATCAGCTACAGAAATCTATACTTCTCATTTATCATCATGTCTCCAAGCGTTCAGTCTTTCTGCATTCTGTGTGTGTTATTATTTCTTAGCTTTTATTCATTCACCTTAGCATTTCTTTGTTGATCACCCTCTCTGTCTAGAAATTCTTAACATTCTATTTGAAATGCTATTATTTTCTTATATTGGGAGGACTGGTGACAAAAGCATCTTTGCTTTTGACTCCTTTCCCTTCCCAGACATCTTGAAACGCCTTGCTCAGCAGATTCTGGATTACATTTGTACCTGCTTACGATGTGTGGCATATCTGTGCCCTTAAAAGGACTGTGTGGACAGTTAAATAAGATAGTCTTTTCAGATCTTTTCTGCTCTGTGAAATAGTTCTCTTTTTAACAGGAACATTGTGGCAGAGAAGGCCCCTAATTGTAGACCAAAACGAAAGGTGTGGTTGATACCTAGCTACTGCCAAAAAGTAATACCCTTTAGAATCATATGCCTCCTGTAAAGTTCCAAAATGCAGAATAGATACATGACATCACTGTACTGTAGTCTTCCTGCTACACATGTGAAGTGGAAGAGTGGCAGGAAACCTCAAACTGGTGATAACATGACATCAGGACTAATTTTATGTTACTAAATATGTAATCTTTCTGTGTGGATAGATTCTCAAAGGTACATACAGTCCTAACCACAATGCATGGAAGCTTCTTTCAAATACCAGTTGCTAATGGTTTGAAATAAGCTAATCCTGTTTTATTTCATAAGACCTTTTACAAGGGTAGTGGAGTCAGTCCACCTGCTTCTACTACTTACTGGTTTCAGTGTAACAAAATAAAATTAATAAATATGTATATTTTGCATTGCATTTAAAACCTGCTTGAATGGTATTACCTTAGTTTTCTTCAGCATCAGAAGAGGAAGAGATAGACATTTACTTAGCTCTCTACTTAGCCTTCTAGCATTGGAACTACTGCATCTATATTTTTGCAGCAGAAGGGTAGTTCCCTATAACATAACATTTTTCATGTTCATTGGAATGAAATAATCTTTTCCAGTAACTACATAGTGCCAGCTATTTTGCTTTGTTTTCTTCAGTTCAATGCAGATATCATTGAGGCAGTACCTTTGTGATCAAAATGGCAATGTGCTAGAGGGAGGTTTTACCCAACAGACTGTCTCGTACAACATCTTGTCTCCCACTGTGACCAACCTGATGCCTCTAAGAAGGTCATAAGTAGGACTCTAAGGCCCTTTCCAATGTTGCTCTCTAGCAACATCCATGGGTGTACTCCCTCGGAACACGTAAGGATCTGATACAAGCTGAGAGTGAAAAAAGGAAATCTGGAACCCAACTAAAGGTGTGATCACACATGGATATAGATCATATTTTGTATCACTTGTGGAGCAGTCCAATGCAATCTACTGTATTTCCTGGCAATCACAAGACATACAAGAAATTGAACTTCAGCCCTACCCTTATCCATGCCTGATGTGGACCGTTTTGTTCCAGCTTTAGTGCTAATTGCTGGAACAAATCCCCAACAGACAGAGGGGTTGCTCCCTTCCAAGCTACCCTTTCTGATGCGATTGGATGCACTCTTCTTGCTATCTTATCACACTCTAATTTATACAAGCTCTGGCATACCTCAGAACATATCAACATTTAGTCAGAAGTAAGTCAATTACACATACTCCTAAGTAAGTATACATTGTGCTCCCTTCCAAGCTACCCTTTCTGATGCAATTGGATGCATACTCTTCTTGCTATCTTATCACACTCTATACATGCTCTGGCATACCTCAGAACATATCTATAAACATTTAGTCAGAAGTAAGCCCATTACACATGCTCCTAAGTAAGTATACATAAGGTTGCAGTACATGTATACAGTGGTGCCTCACTAGACGATGATAATCCGTTCCACTGAAATCGCTGTTTAGCAAAATCATTGTCTAGCGAAAAGCATTTCCCCACTGGAATGCATTGAAACCTGTTTAATGTGTTCCAATGGGGAAGAATCATCGTTGTCTAGCGAGGATCGGCCATAGGAAAGCCGCTTTGTGAACTGCCGACCAGCTGTTTAACTTGCTGTCTGGCGAAGCTTAGGTCCTGAAAACACCTGTTTTGCGAGCACGGAAGGCGCTGTCAAAATCGTCATCTAGCGAAAATCGGTTTGCGAAGCAGGGATCAAACATTGTCCAGCGAAATTCCCCCATAGGAAACACTGTTTTGCGAATCGCTATAGTGATCGCAAAAAGTCAATGTCTAGCGAAAAAAAACTGTCATGCGGGGTAACTGTCTAGCGAGGCACTACTTTATAGGCTTACGTAAGGTTGCTCTTCATAAAATTATTTCTCTCTTACTACACAGCATTGCCTCCCAGAGATCCAATACTTCATGAAAAAGCATATGAGTTTTGTCTCCATACTGATGATCATCACAGTTTTCTTCATGGTAATAATATGTATATCCTGCTTTTGTTCTTAAGTAATTGTTGTTGTCATACAGGTCTTTTGTGTGTGTGGCACCAAAGACTGTAGCATTTTAGTTTAGGGAATAAACATTAATTTGATAAAGAGAGCATATTTATTTGATGGGGGCTCCTCCTTTATTAATCAGTCTTCATGTACCTTCACTGGAAATAAGATATTAAAGCCTTAAGTGTAATTCTTAAGTATGTTTTTATGCTTTATGTATAGATGTTTATGGACAACTGCTACTCATAAAGAGTAGACTGCCAATAATTTAAAACAACTCTTATTTTCTGCTGACACTCAGCCTTCATTTTATATGAGTCTACCTTATGTCAGTTATACTTTTTATCCGTCTGATAGTGCCAGCCATTCTCCATGGTCTCAGGCAGAGGTATTTCATATCATCAGCTATGCATTTATTCTTTTTTTAAAACTGAAGAATGGCAGAGATTGGACCTGTGAGTTTCTTCAATGTATGCATTCTAGCACTGGTTCCTATTCATTTTAAACAGTGACATTCAGCAGATGTTTAAAGGTGGTGAAGGATTCTGGGTTTATCTCACACAGTAATGAATCATTATTTGCAAGGGAGTTCTTATTTTTTACAAGAGACTCTGGATGTATCTACACTACACAGTTATAGTGGTTTCATTCCATTTTGACTGCAAGGGCTCCATCTTGTAAACCCTGGAATTTGTAAAGTCAGATACAGCGGTACCTTGACTTAGGAACTTAATCCGTATTGGAACGGCGTTCATATGTCGAAAAGTTTGTAAGTCAAGGTAAACTTTTCCATAGGAATACATTGAAAACCATTTAATCTGTACCTCCTGTTTTTCGTTCGTTTGTTGAGGAATGCATTGAAAACCATTTAATCCATACCTCCTGTTTTTCGTTCATTTGTTGAGGCGCTGTTCGTAGGTAGAGACTTTAGTTCCCATAGGAACTAATGCAAAGCTGGTTAATCTGTACTCTACCACTAGGGGGGAGAATTTGGTTTTAATTTTTCTTCTTTTGACCTAAGATGAACTTAGGTCAAAAAAAGAGCAGGAAAGGTTTTTTTTGGGGGGGGGGGTTCGTTCATAAGTTGAGGCTCCATTTGCAAGTTGAAGCAACTTTTTGCAAACGGAGCTGTTCGTAACTCGAATCAGTCGCAAGTGGAGACATTCGTAAGTCAAAGTACCACTGTACTTAGAATTCAGTGCTGTATTTCATGGGACAAGAGCTGTCTGGTGGGAAATTCTATGAATCTCACCAAACTTCAGATATCAGCACAAGAGCTGTCTGGTGGGAAATTCTATGATATCAGGACTCCATAGGATGGAATCACAGCAGTTAACATGGAATCAAACATCTATAACTTGTGTAGAATTGTATAGGTACACTCTTTGTCACTCATATTAGCATCTGTGCTGGAGACTGAGACAGTAACATCATGACATGGTTGTGGAAAGGCATTTATATCAACTCATGGTTTTTATCCTTGTCCCAGACATCTGACGAAAGCTAGCAAGCAGCCATTGGTGCTATACTTGTTACATGTATCCCTCCCAAGATGCCAGCTTCCCTGCTTCTATATGCAGTTTCTACCAAGATGCCAGCTTCCCTGCTTCTATATGAAGCAGTTTCTGGTGTGGGCATTAGCATGATGCAGCATCTCAGCATCCTTAGAACTAAGAGACATTATTTTATTTTTATTTTTTGACCATGGACCATAATGGCCAGGGATTTGGGAAGTTGTAGTAATGAAATGGGGTAGGAAGTAACATTTCCAAGCTCTGAGCTTTACTGGATGCAACCTTTTGTATCCATACTATTGAATCAGCTTTGTAAGTCTAGTGAACAATGGGAAGAACTATTTCCATGCTGATTCTTCTAGATTTTTCAGTACTAGTCTCATTCTCACTACATTTTTGAATTGTCCGCTCACATTCTGAATCTGGTTGATACTCGAACTGTCTCCCCTCACATATGTTCCAAGCAGATTGGGATCTAGGCCTGGTGTGGAAGGATCCACAAAATGCAAGCTCTGTAAGAAAAACCCATGTGATCCCATCAGCACCATGAGCGCCCACCATTTATGCAACTGCACCAGCAGCATACAGTTGCAGCTTCTGAAAAGAACTCTGCATTTCTGAGGATACATATACAAGAGGCAGTAGCCTGCTCTCAGAGTAACAGCATCATTTTACAGATTTTAAGAATAAACTCATCATTAGAGACAGAACATCTGTGATCATTTAACACCAGTACTTTGTTTAACAGGGCTGTTTGTCTTTAAAAAAAACTTCATTGAACTATATCATGAGATTTAGTTTATAAAACCTGCATTATTTTTATTGGATTGAAAATCAAGGTTTTGAATGAAAAAAAAATCTCTGATGTTTTAATACCACGCAAATACTGTATGTGCTGCACACTTGTAAGGGTGTACTTTCTTGTACAAGTAAGAAGGCCATGCCAGTGATGATGCCTTCTACTAGCGAAGTATCTAAGTAGCAGAAATAATAATAACAGTTGTGCACTGTCAAGATGATTCTGTTTTCTAATAATCCTTGCTGTGGTTTCCTAGGTATAAAGTTCTCAAAAGTCCCTTTTTTGTGATGGTGGTAGCACTCTTAGAATGTGCAGATTGCCCAAGGCAACACAGGCTGGCTTTTATCTTGTGAAGTACAGTGTGTAATGGAACTTCCAACTCTCTCTCCAATTGACCAAGCTATTCAGCCAGTGTACTAAAAATAGCAACAGGTTTCACTTGAAAAAAAAGTACACACTTTCCAGTCACATTTTAAAATGAGCCTTTTGTGGATTAATCTAACAAATTATTTGATAAGCATTGTAAAGCCATGCACACTTAGGTGGGAGCAAGGTTCCCTGAGAGACAGAGAGAAAAATGAGTGTTTAAATAAAAATATATAAATGGGAGGTATATTTATGGATTGTGTATCAATGGGGATGTATGTATGCATATTAAAGAAGTGTGGATTTTGCTTTGGCCTTACTCACTGCTCTCATTTGCTGCATAGTTGGAAGGTTACCTTGAAGGAGGATCTTCAGCTGAAAGGTTTCCCTGCATCTGATTACAATTTAGGCTTTGTCTTAGCTCTGTTTTTTTTTAAATTCTGGTTTAAACTTCCTTCAACTTGTGGTAGATGGGTAGAGAAGTATTACAATTAATCTGAAGTACAAGCGATGCCATTAACTCTCTTTCATTCCTCTCTATGTCCTAGGTGTATGGGATGATCTTAACTTCATTCCTGTGGATCTCCATACATTTTAAGAACAGTTTGGACCGGAAGGGCAAATACATTCTCGCAAGGCAATAGGACCTGGGCTTTTGACTTCTGCACCAGGGAAACCGTTGTGGCTGTAGGAGAGACGCATTAGATTGTTTTTCACAAATGTGAACAGCAAATGGGTGGCCCTTAACCTTATTCTCCAGTCTCTCTTTTTTTGTTGTTGTTCTTTTCAAAACTTTCCATCGCACGTGTGGATTAGACTAAATTAGACAAGCAGAAATGCAGCAGGCTTTGTAGGGCAGGCCTGACCAAAGTGTTCATCAACCAAGACATCAGAAGGATGGATCTCTGAGTCAAAACACAAAGGCAGGATATAAACCAGGAACCAAGACGTTGCCCAGCCACAAGTACATCTGTCATCTGAAAAGCTATAATTCAGAGCCCTCAAAATAGCAAGTCAGAACAGAACAACCTATCCCAGAGGGGGAAAAAAACGAAACCCAGGGGAATTTAACTTTCTTTGCTCAGCAACCTGGAAGAATCATTTCTGTTCACTTGAAGTGAGAAAGTGAGAGAAGGGGGTGGGGGTACCTGCAGCTCATTTTATACTATTTCATTACTTTTTTAGTCAATTCTGCTGAATGGAAATGTTAAGGAAGGTGTGATAAATCATTGGTCCCCAGATAATTTTGAACCAGAACTCTTACAGCCCCTTATTCGCCGTGCTTGTGAGGATTTCAGAGATTTGAAGCCCAAAACAATTGCACAGCCAAACATTTCCTCACTCCTATTTTAGAGCCTATTTGATTTTTATTACACTGTGTAATTTAAATAAACCAGGAAATAAACAATCCATAGTTGTTTAAAACAACAACAACAATAGCCCATGAAAACACTTAAATACTGTTATGCTACATCACTGCTGGGCTACATACATCTAAAGTTATTCAGGATTATGATTGAAAATCCTAAATACCGTTGTCATTATTCCCACTAAACACATATGTAGAAGTGCACAGTAGTGCCAAACAAATATCTTTCTTTAGTTTGCCTTTGTTTAATAGTATGTCAATTATAATTACATTTACAATGGCCATGGACCTATTCTTCTAAGTTCTAAATTTTTAATTCACTTGGCCAAAGTGTGGGTATGAATTCTATATGATGAACATTATGCATCTCCCCTCTGATATGTTGTTGTCTTGGTAGGTCTATGCTTTCAGTTGAGATCCAAACAGAGATAATTATTATTGCTTTAAGGAACATCTATTCTAGTTCCAAATACTGAAACTCTCGGTGTGCAGTCAGAAGGCTGCGAAGGTGTGCACCTGATCAAACCAGAAAGGGTTGCTTTAATGGAACTAATCTCCCTTAAAGTGACCTTTATGTCTGCCAGGGAATTCCTGTGTAAACCACCCAGAGTAGACACATTCTAGATAGGCGGTATACAAGTTTTATAAATAAATAAATAAACTCCTGTAGCCAGGCCTCAAAAAAATTTGAAGCCCTACAGCTAGACCAAAAAGGTCCAGCTTGGGCACAGATTGGGGTCAGGCTGGAGTGTGTTTCCTCATGTATTGTCGTTTCGTTTAGTCGTTTAGTCATGTCCGACTCTTCGTGACCCCATGGACCAGAGCATGCCAGGCCCTCCTGTCTTCCACTGCCTCCCGGAGTTGTATTGTATTGTAATCACCAGGAAATAGACTGCACTGGATCCTTCCACAAGCAGTTCAAATTGCTATTTTCCTCTGTGATTACATTCTTATTTTCTTTATACAGTAGCTATGGTACTGGGCCATTTCAGTAATCAAAGGTGACAGACATTTCTGAAGACACCCTCCTTCCACAAGGTGTGGGCAGACTGGTTTTTAGACAACTTTTTGATTAACTGTTTATGTCATTAATGTATGTTGACCACTGGATCTTTAAAAGTATGCCAAGGAAAACATGGGGCCTTGAAGATGGTAGGAAGAAGTCAGTCACAATATTATTGCATTACTAGTAGCCCATAGCTTAAAAGTGAGACATCAGAATTAAAAACGTACAGTCTTATTATGGAGGGTATGATGTGAAATTACAATCATGACACAGTTTTGTTATATCTTCCTTACTGGGGAAGGGAATCCATTCCAAGTAATTGGGACCTAAAGCGAATCATTAGTTGCAGAACTTGGTACATCGAAAGTTATGTAAGGCCCTCTGGAATCAACAGGAGGTCTGCCCCAGCTGGGATTGACAGTTGGCCTAACCATTTATAGAAGGGATGTGGTGATGCTGAGGGTTAAACTGCAAAAGCCTCTGTGCTGCAAGGTTAGAAGACCAGCTGTCATAAGATTGAATCCACGCGACGGAGTGAGCTCCCGTCGCTTGTCCCAGCTCCCGCCAACCTAGCGATTCGAAAGCATGTAAATGTGAGTAGATAAATAGGTACTACCATGGTGAGAAGGTAATGGCATTCCGTGTCTAAGTCACGCTGGCCATGTGACCACGGGAACTGTCTACAGACATACGCTGGCTCTACTGCTTGGAGACAGGGATGAGCACCGCGCCCTAGAGTCGAACATGACTGGACTAAATGTCAAGGGGAACCTTTACCTAACCATTTATAATTCGTTACTTCTAAGCTCTTATTTAAACAGTTGTGTCAGACATGTGCTTGGACAAAACATAGACACTGCTGCTGCCAATCTGCAATTCTTGTTCAGGCTTGTCTGGGATACACCAAAAGTGGTTAATATCTGGAGCCTATGTTCTGCTATAAATCCTTAGATAAAATGATCCTTGGGGCCCATCAGTATTTGTCAGCACTGCCTTATCCTCTGTGCAAGACGATGGAGAAATTATTCCACTCAACCTTCCTGAGGGATGGAATGTTGTACACTGATTGGCACAGTGAGAAAAGAGCAAAAAAATAAAAATAAACAGAAAGTAAGCATGTTTAGGAGACGGGATTTAGTGATTCACTGTGCGCACACAGGATGCATTTTGCAGGGAGCGGAGAGGCTTCCATGACATTTTCCCATGACACTTTGAAAAAATGAGCCCCTAAGCTCTAAACATGCAAGAGTGGAACATGACCTAAGCAGGTGTCAGCAGCTCACCACAAAATGGCAAACTGAGTTACTCCTTGGGTCAGGTCTTGATCTGCTGTTGGTTTGTTGACTTCCGGAACCAGATCATTCCAGGACTATCCCAAACTAAATATAATATTAATTATATAGGTTCTTCTAAATATACATTATTACACTTTCTTTGGTGATGATGAAAGGAGAGTTTTGTGTAAAGCCAGTAAAAGCTCTGCTACATTACTAAAATAAATACATTTTTTAAAGACTCAGAGCCTCCAACTTTCTTCATCGGTGTTAGTGCAAAGCCACTGTTCCCTTTTCATAAAGAAGTTCTGAATTTCCTGGTGGAAGGGTTGTGTTTTTCCAGTCCAAATATCATGTCTTTCTCTTTTACAGCCAGGTGATAAAATCCCCTTTGTTTTTTTTTCTTTCTTTTCTACTTGGGACCCATGACTTGTCCCTCAGCAGCCAGCATGGCAGGTTGATTGATGGGGCTCAGAGATGATAGGGTGGGAGAAGCCATGGATTGCATCCAATTCAGTTGTTCGGCATTTAACAAAGAGACATACATGGTCACAGTGCTGAGATAAGGCAACCATTACACAAAAACAACTGGGCCTTGTTTCTTCACTGGTGACAGAGGTGCTGCGTTACCAGACTACGCCAGGGGGCGTAATGGTGAAGTGAACTGCCCAGAGATGAAACCAAACAGACACTGTTGTAGTGTTGAAAGTATTATTTACATTAAAGTCCATATATACAGGGGTAAATACAGCTTCTCTTGGTCTTTATACAGTCCTGGTCATTCACAGTAGTTCTTCAGTTAGTAATGGTAAATTACAGTTTTCAGTAACCAAATATTGTTACCAATGTAAATAGTCCTGCATCCACGAAGTCTTCTCCTCTCACCACAGAGATAGTCTTCTCCAGGATCTTCTCCTTGCAATATGGCAAGTCTTCATCCAACGATGCAGTAAATACAGTTCTCAGCAACACGATCACCAGCAACACAACAACCAACCAACCACCCAAACTACCCAACAACCCAAACTACCCAACAGTTTGTCTCTGCAAGCTTGGCTAGTTTTATTCTTGGTTCAACCAATCACATTGGTTGTCACACAGCTGCCTCAATTAACTCAGCTGTGCTCCTTTGTTACATGTTGCTTTACTAAATCTGATCCTGTAACAACTTATCCACTGAATTGCGATGAACAATTCTCTAGGTTGACTTTGAGACCTGTCAACTGGTAATTTTAAGCTTTCCCAACTGGAAATAACATTTTGTATTTCTACCAGGACCCACGTCAAGAAAAACTGTCAAAAGATGCCTTGGCGAGGAATCCCCATTTCCTCCTTGCTTCTTAGTATTATGATCTCATCGGTTACTAGAGGTTCAGTTCTCCCTCCTGTGACTCTTTTGTCCCACAGTTGCTCCAATGGGTAGTATCTAGAGATGGGGGTATTGGTATTTGTATGAATATCCCTGCAGAAGTGGCGTTAACAAGGGTCTAGCCTCATGGGGCTGGACAGTCCACTCACTGATTCTACGAATGGCTCTGCAGCACACGATCTTCAGCCTTGCAGTGAGGCTTGTCCTCCTGCCTCCTGCCAGGAGTAGCAAGCGGATCACACGCTGCAGAGCCATTCGTAGAATCGTACCATCTGCATCGGGTGAGTGGACTGTTAATGCCCCCTGTGTGGGGATATTCGTATACAAATACCCCCATCTCTAGTTGTATCAATTGGCTGGCCTTCCGCTGATGGGAGGGATCTTCAGTCCAATGGAAGAGAGAAGTGATTTTTCAGGTACCCTCCTCAACCACCATTTTAGCAGCCCCCTCAAATTTAATCTGGAGAATGAGGGGAATTTCAGAACAAAGTGGGAGGTAGAATGGGGAGACTGGGGAAGGGAAGAATTTGCCCTGAATCACCCCCCATCCCCTTTCCACTGATGAACGCCTCCATTAAATCAAAAAGTGTTCAACTGGCCATCAGTTGGACCACTACCCAATAACTCCCTCGCAAGGAAAATCATATTTGTCAGCATGAAAAGTTTTAATGTAGCTAAGGCTTCACTGTAAGGAACACTAGCCTTTGGCTATCATTGCTAATGTTGTTATTCAAAGCCCAGATGGGAGGTCATGAGATTTCTGGCTGCTTCCAAGAAAATGAAATTAAAGTGCTCTTCTTTCTCCCCCTTATGTATGCAGACACTGCTGTTGCAGTTGCCGAGCTATTACCATAATGTACTCTAGGCAGTAAATCTCCCAACACTGAGAACACAAAGGGCAAGTGATGTTTCTGCTGAGCCCAATACAGAACATGCAGGCAATTTCACTGGACTTCAACAGAACAAATGTTTGGTGTTTTTTTGTTTTTGTTTTTGTTTGGGTTTTGATTTTCTTTGATT